GCCAGCCCACATCTACCCCAGCCAGCCCACATCAATGCAAGCCAGCCCACATCAACTCAAGCCAGCCCACATCAACGCAAGCCAGCCCATATCAATGCAAGCCAGCCCATGTCAATGCAAGCCAGCTCACATCAACGCAAGCCAGCCCACATCAACCCAAACCAGCCCACAGCAACCCAAGCCAGCCCAGATTAACCTAACTCAGCCCAGATAAACCCACATATCTATGACTACAGACAGGCATGCTTCCCAAACTAGGCAATGCTGTCCAACAATGCATGACGTGTCCCCACTGTCCAACAGTGCATGACACGTCCTACAGAACAAAAGGATTACATGTAAACACACTTTTTAAACTATTTCAAGTAGGTGAAATTAGCACACCTGGTATGCATCTCAAATTAAGCACAAAGAAAATTTCCAACAGCACATTGTTACTGTCTCACTTTATGATTAGTACAACCTACCTGTATATCCCATCTCCTTCTCCAAGTCAATAAACGAGAGAAAACATCTTGACTTTAACATTGCATTCGGCAGTAGTAATCAAATAGTACTCACACACGAGAGTTTAAAAGTTTTATCCTTATTTTTATCACAAAACTAAGTTTAGACTTCAGTTTTCAAAACACATAATACCTACTGGAGTGATTCTGTACAAATGTTCTTTCATAAGGTGCTTCACAACCTTTAACATTACATGTACATAAACCTTAGTATTGCAGCTATCTCACCAGTCTACACAATCTGATCCTCAGAATATTGGTGGCAGGGCATTCTTCCTTGGTAATGTGGCAAGAGCTTCACTGTTCTCAGCCTTTTTGCTCAGTGGCTTATCCACGGTTTTCAGCTTTCTCCTCGGCAACCTTTCACCGGGGAGCTTGGCAGATGTGGACGGGACAGTGTGACTTTCGGCTTGATTACGGGGGCTTGTCCTAGGGGTGATACCCAATTCCTGAGCTTTTGCTATTCCTTCTGAACATGCCGATGTCTCTCCTACTTCACGCCCCTTTGTGTCTCTAGGAGAGGTACCCCCGGTTGCCTCTGCCGGGGGAGCTGTCTGGATTCTGTAAGGAGGAGCTCGAGCTCCTGTCATTGTTTCTCTTAACACAAAGCTTGTGGATCGAAAATCATTAAGGGACAGGCGGCTAGAGTCTTGTGAGCTGAGAGAGAGGGTATCATCGGCACCTGACAACCGTAAGAACTGGACATATGCTCTCAACATTACCAAGAGGTGGGCAAGGGGCATGTTGTCTTCATCGTCACTATCATCCCCCAGTTCCTCAGTGGGCTGATCCTCACTCAAGAGATGCACAGCTGAGATGTGTGTGACTCCTTTGATGAACCGGACCAGGATGGAATCTTCCAAGTTTTCAAGGTGGGGTTGTTGGAGCGGTAGTCTGGTGACTGTCTTCAGAATACAGTCCATTGTGTGCTTCACACCCTAAGGGAGAAATTACAAATGCAATAACAAAAGCTCAACCTACAATGTACATGTAAATGTAATTTAACTGAGATGCCTTCTAGTAAAATGAGATTATGAGAGAGTACAAAACATGACTGTTTATTTGGTTTTGTTTACATTTACACAGTTTAACAAGATACACACCAATGCTTACAATCCAAAACAGAAATGGTATTTTTGTTAGAGGCATTTAATATGCTATTATTTGTAGACAAGATTTAGTTAAAAACTGAATGGGACTAAATCTGAAAATGCCATTTTATATGCCATCATCTTATAAAACTTTTAGAATATGGTTGAATCTAAAAGTCTTAGCTCCGGCTGGCAATAATGTGTGTCTATGGATAATGGATACGGTTCCTAGCTACTGACTTCCACAAGTACATGTATTATTGAGTGCATGCACCCTGGAAAATTCCAGCACACCGAATAAATAAGTCAAAAGTCTTTGTTGAGTAATAAAGTTCTGAATTAAAGCAAAAAATCTTACTTGAGGATTAAAGTTCTGAATTAAAGCAAAAAATCTTACTTGAGGATTAAAGTTCTGAATTAAAGCAAAAAATCTTACTTGAGGATTAAAGTTCTGAATTAAAGCAAAAAATCTTACTTGAGGATTAAAGTTCTGAATTAAAGCAAAAAATCTTACTTGAGGATTAAAGTTCTGAATTAAAGCAAAAAATCTTACTTGAGGATTAAAGTTCTGAATTAAAGCAAAAAATCTTACTTGAGGATTAAAGTTCTGAATTAAAGCAAATTTCATTTGTGAATACTACTGCATTTTAGCAATGCTCTTTCTACTAAAAAGAAGTGGTTGTGGTACCCACAACCCAATGCAACTTTCTTACTCTGCTCAAATTCTTGAATGCCACTGCAGGGTCCTCCTCATTAAATTCTGCACTCAACCTCTGGATGTCTGCTTTGCTTAAAATAGGCTTCTGAAAAAGCAAAAGATTGGGAGATACTCAAAGTTTGGTTCACACAACATACACTTTAACCTTCCTCTCCAATTAAAATTGCTCATCGGGGTTTAAACCAAGTTTAGGGGAATTTGTGGGATTGAAGGTATCCAAGTGGGGTAACTGCGGGGGAAGGGGGGGACTTGAGCAGCTCTCTGTGTCCTGTCTGCCTCCCCCTCCACTATTTGAAATCTTGGAATGAACACAACCTACATGTATTTACAAGCCACACTATATATACCTGCAGTGACCCCTCCCTAATAAAGAGTACACCCCTAGGTAACCCCCACCAACATTTCACCTCAGTTAATTACACCATCCACCAAGCCACAATTATTTTTACATGGAGCTTTATGTCACTTGAAAGTAAAGAAAATGCGCTGGTTGTTCTATGTTTTACAAGATATTGAGGGTAACAGTTCTTAAGGCCTATTTGACAGTAGTGTTTAAGCATTTGAACATTTGACTCAATTCTCATTCTTGTGGATATCTTGAACAAATATCCCCAAAGACAATACTATGACCAAGACTCACAAGTCCTCTTAAGTCCACCATGAGTAATCAAGCTTTGTGTCAAGTCTTAATTCAAGTTTATTTGCAATTCAAATTAACTGTGACAAAAGCATTCCTAGATTATTGTCAATGCATGATGTAGACAAACCATCACAAGACCTTTCACGAGACTAGTCACAGGCAAAAGAGTTTGAAATAATGACAAAGGAAAGCTTCTGCCACAGTTCACTTGACTACCATGTGACTTGACTTCGGACTTGGGGTCTAGTGATGGTCTTGTGTTGGGCTTGTACTGTACATCTGATATGCCCCAATTAAAAAGGAACTTAAGGAAACTGACCTCTAGGTGTTCAAGCCAGGACCACATCAGCATGGACAAGACAAAAGGGTCCTCCTCGGTTGAGACAATCTCCCAGGCAGAGGTGCTCCGATTCAAATTATGCTGTGCAACCAAGAAAAATACATGTTAAAGTTTTCTTTTGATCTTAAAGTCATGCAAACACCACGTGGTTCCAAGACATGGTTAAAGTTTCCTTATGGTTTTTTTTGTGGTTTGGAAATAACCTCTTCAAATGGATATTGTCATCAATAAATAAGTTTAAAATGAATTTCAAATTTTGCCTATAATACCTTCAAACGTGAACAGGCAACAGTCAGGGATGAATACTTTGAAAAAAAAAGATGCTTTAAAAATTATACACAGCAAGTGCTTTCTGTGAGCTCACCTGCAATGACTCTACTCGAAGATGCAGACCCTGAAATGAAAAGAGAATGATGAAAAACACAAAAAAGTAAAGCGTCAAAATGCAAGCAAGTTTCAATTACGAGAACATTTCTCTTTCATTCAAGAGTTAGACTTTTTATCTTAAACTTTTGAGATGAAAGAAATAACTTACCGCCAACACTCGATTAAAATCATCACGATCAACACTATATGATGCAGCATCAAATGACAAAGCTGTACCGACCAACTGGACATCATCCATATCTTGTGGATCATCTATCCGTAACGCAGCTAGCATTGACACCGACCGATTCACAATGGATGCCAACTTCCCCTTGGAAGATTTTCTGGGTGCCATCTCCAATACTGCCTGAGCTTTGCTCTGACTCTTGACAAATCTAGCGTTCTGTGATGGGGCAAGTTCTGATGTTTCTGTGTGAGCATTGTGGTCATCATCTGAGCTGGATGCCACGCTGCCGTCGGTGACATGTCTCCGCAAGCCAAGCATAGGGCTCCGATGGGGTGTTTGATCAGGCCAAGTGGGGACTCTCAGAGTAGCCTGGCTGCCAAACCTAGCGGAATCCTGCCTCAGGTCCTCCGCACTAGAACTCCTCTTCTTCAGTGGAGGGAGTTTGCTCGGTTGGGCTAGACTGTTGTAGCCAAAGTCACTACGACGCTTCTCAGGTGAGTACTGCACAGGGTTTGCTAACTCCCTCTGATTAGGAAAGGCTCCTGGTGCTGTCTTCCTCAAGATGTCAATATTCTCTCTTCTTTGCTGTGGCTGGGAAGTAGAAGTACAGGAAGCAAGTTGGGCCAACTGGCTGCATACAACTCTCACAATCTGTGAAGTGAGAAAATGAAAATGCCCCGTTATACATGCAGTCTTGTTAAATTTCAGGGGAGATGGTTAACTCTGTACACTTCTCAACAAAATAACTAAGTCAAATGATGAGCATCTGAGTGGATTACTTCCTTTCATTTTTGTTTCGATTTCAAGAGCATACCCTCACTGGTGAGAAATAGAGGTCACAGGTATATTATAATTGTCACGTGCACAGCACCCACACGAATAGGCTGAAGATTCAGAACATTATGTTTAGTTGTTTATCTTTTCTGCATGTCCACAAACAAGCACATGTATGAGAAGTGCTCTCCCAGGTCAGATTGTTACTTGGTGAAATCTACCTCTCATGTTCACATATGGAGCATATTGCTTATCGTTAAGATGGACAAGGAAGAACGGTTACAGGCCTTCTCAAGAATTTCTTGTGTCATTACTGAATTGAAGTTGTTACATTATTTATGTCTGTTACATCCCTCTCATTTCTGTGGGTGTTTATATGTGGAATCCATGGGTACATGTAATCCAAAATTTCCAAGATTACGCAATGAAAATTATCCAGAACAGCGTTTAATCTTAATTTAAGTCTGTTATAGTACTGTCCATCCATAGAGCTATACATAAAAACTGGAGTGCAGACTCCTACAAAGTGATGCCTGCTGGATGTCTGTGTTCTAAAACGATATGTCAACAAAGCCGATATGCAAACAAGCTGAATGCACAATCCTTAGATGAGCATTTCATTTAGCTCTGTGTTCCCAAAACAAAAACATGTGTATGTATGCGCTGCACATGAATTTTACTGTGATTTTTTTCATTGGATTTTATCAGTACCCGATGTGCATGACAGCCACCGCTCAAGAGCGACTTAATTAAAGGAATGATTTTAACTTTAGCTGAACTTATTCATCAAAAGATAGCCAACAAAAATAGGGCTGTGCCGAATATTTGAATATCTGGATATTCGATTGAGTATCAAATATTTGAATATTACTTACTGAATTTGAATTTTTGAACGCAAAATTCATAAAAACGAAAGGAGAATTTTCTTTTGTTTTGAATAAGAAAAACTGCACTATGGAGGCTTATTCCGAGCAGATTTAAATGAGATGCGAATGAATGAAGTGAAAAATGAATAGAAAATGTCTCTCAAATCTTGCTAAATCATGGCCAGAGATATTCCCAGACATGAGAAGCTATTATAGTGATGATAATGTACAATTGTGTGCGTTACTGCAACTGATTTTGTGTAATGGTTTCTTCATCGACAATCTGCCGGTTGGTACAACCGAATATTTAGATATTCAATCGAAATGAAAGTCCAATATTTGAATAGTGAATTATTTGAACTGACTCAGCTCTAATCAAAAGACATGCTTCAGACAATTTTGCTTGAATGTTTGGGAAACAGTTGTTGTAAAAGTCATCAGCTACGAATGTTAATTACTTTGTTATTGCTCTGTATCTGTGCACCTTATTCAAAAGATGCGCTGATATTCGCATATGTAGTACTTCCCCATTATTCGATATTCATTCTATCTTACATGTATTTTGAATGTTCTACAAGCATGCACATGGATTCAATATGTCTGCGCCAAGGATGGCGTCAAATTTTCTCCGCACGGAGAATGAGAAGTTAGCGCTCTAGTTTTTATAAATAGCTTTATGCGTTCATCTCACCTTAGGTAAATATTTCAATTCCCGAGCCTCATAGCCATGCAGCATCAGTTTCTGCCTGATCAGAAACTGATCAAGGGTGAAGGGATATGCACAAGGATCACTGGAGATTGGAAGGTGCAATAAGGGGAAAAAAAGAAGTCAGAAACACCACTCACACAACTGCGTCAGCAACACCTTGAACTAGATTGGTTAAACCTGTAGTTCATGTTTTAGACCTCAGAAGAAGTGTCACCAACAAACCACAGACACAACACAGCTTTGTTGACAAACTGTGTCCATGGGCAGGACATTTTACAGTGGCAAGTTTTCCTTTCATTAGAGCAAATGTATACTCCATGCTGAACACAGATGGTTGATAAGGGTATTTGACAGTTATTCACACCACAAAGTTGCAAAGCTGTTTTGTGTGTGTTTTTCTTTTAGACAGAAAAGTCATAATCACACAGAAGGCACACTTAAACCAAAAACATGGCTGGAGAAGGAAGAGTCTTGGAGAGAAGGCTCACCAGGATGAGAAAATCACTCTGAATGGAATGAGGAACTTGGCAAACTGTTGGCAACATTCAATCTGGCCTGGAGTCTGTATTGCACCTTTCCTGGAACATAAAACAAAGGCAGCAAGTCTGAATTTGTATACTTACAAATACATGAAAAGACAACATGAGCAAATAATTGTAAGTTGGCTGGAAGGTGGAAAGCAAATAAAAGCACTTGTGGTGAGTTTCAACTTAAAATTAACACTGAGTTGATAATCTGATTAAGGATGTCATTATTTAACCTGCCTTCGGCAAAGTTTGGAAAAACCTGCAAGACAACAGAGTAGATTGAAAATCAACTTCACAATAAAAGAAAGAATTTATTTGCAAGTAAAACAGTGCTTTGGCTGATATACCACTGCATGTTTAACTATTACAACATCAAAGTCTACTTATAAAGTGTACTTTATCTCATTGAGTACAAGGTCACTTGTTGGGAAAATCAAGACACTATAGAGTACTGTGGTATTGGTTCTACACAAGGCTGAAACATCCGTTGCAAAAGCACAGGAAACCATAAAGTGATATCTGAATTTAACCATTACCTTGGCAGCTGACAGCAGATGACTTATTCATATGCTTCCCATAGACTTATTGATCAATGAAACCACTAACCAGCAAGTCACCTGCTGAGCCCAGTCGCATTTGAAGTCTTTATGTTAAAGATATTCTGCTGTATTGTTTGATATCATGTACTTCATGTCATGGGATCGCACAACAATCTTTGTTTCCATTGTTACCATTAGGGACAACCTATGCAAGCCAATGCACATCTCCTACAAGACTGAACAATCTAGGCAAACACCTGAGTAATGTAGGTATAACTCACCTCTTTTCACGCACAAACTGAATGGCATTGTCTCCTTCCATTCTCTGTTCATAGATGAGATAGCATGCTATCAATACCCCTGTCCGTCCCAAACCAGCATGACAATGCACCGCAACCTGCAAAAGTAGCACAAGCATTATTCATTGGTCGTGCTATTTAGCGTCAACACACACAAGTATCGTCAACGTGTCAACAACTTGAAAGTATCCTCTAAAGATTTCAAAGTGGTTTTATCACATTTATTTCTAATCACTTTAATTATCCAAAGTGATATCTCCAAAACACATCATGAAAGCTTTCCAAAGGAAGGCTAGTGAAATGCAGAGGAGAAGAAAGAGATCTACACGTAGTATTTAAATTATAATATTTTTGTGCATTAAACTAAAGAAAATTGGAAAGCTGTAGCTGCATAGTCAAACGTTTTTGACTTAATCCATATGAGAGATTTTCAGGGAAAAATTGGGGGATGACAGAACAACTGACAACCAAGCTGAACACACTACTTATTCTGTACTTGTCTCAAAGTGAGGGGGGGTTCAATCAGATTATTTTTTTGTGACACAGAAAGGCTAAAGTGCATCTCAGGAAAAGTGTATCCTTTTTGTTAACACAACAACTGCAAAATGAAAATGACTGGACAACTGCAGCTTACCTTGCCTTCCTTGAGTGCAAAGGACATGACCTTCACCATGTCCAAAATGGAAGGCAGTGATCGTATACCATAGTCATCCCAACCAAAGTTGTAGAAAAAGACTGAGGAAGCAATAAAGAAAATCAATGGCAAACTACATGTACATGTAATGCATTGAAAGAGCAGTTATCATTTTTGTTGGCCACAAACAATACATATTAAAATAAAGCTTTTCAATCATTGACATGAATTTTTCTTTGGGTGTTGTCTTAGCACAGATTTATACCCTATGAGGTTGTAACGTCCAAATGATACAAAATGCTGTTGAAATTTATTGATTTTCAATGAAAAGAACATCAACAACTTACAACTGTAGAGCAATAATCTTTGTAACATTCATTAATTGGCGATATCAGCTAATAAACTGTTGATTAGTTAATCCAATAAATCTTTATTCCATTTGTCATTAAGAATGAAATCTACAAGCTTCAAACTAAGATCAGGCTCTAAATGTTATTAAGAGATACCAAATTTGTCCCATTCTACAGAAATCGCAGACAGTCAACAGACTTTTTAAGACTCTTCATGCACATGGAAATGCTCAAATGAGTGAAATTTGTCAATGACCAAACGTGCTTGTTAGAGAATGGCTAAGGGCACACATCAACACAACTGAGATGATATGAAACAAATCTGTCTGCCCCTGATCAATCAGTGCAACTTACTGTTATTATCCATAAACTGTTCAGGTAAATATGAGAAGCCACTGCTTTGGAGTGGATTGCCACAGCTGGAATGCTCACCAGGGCGTTGTAGATTAACAATGGAATAGATGCCATGCCTAATAGAGAACACCAGAATCAAAGGAGAAGGAAGCATGACATTTATTATTACAAATATAGCAAATGTCTTGAGTGATGAAAATGAACCTTTGGTATCTCGACCCTCTGTTCTTTTTCGCAATGTTACAGGTGTACTGTGGACTTTGACACTGTAAATTCACAATGGCCATTCCACAGTGATTCATCTTTGACATGTTAGTCTACGAAGGAACAGGTTGGATTCAGTGTTGTAGTCGAGTACATGTACTTTCCGAATACCAACGTTCTCCTCAAAATACTGAACTGGGTAAGAGGGAATAAAGCCAGAGTGCACAGGCATTTGATGGTAAATGTGCAAAGGTAAGATTACAAAAAAGATGTTAGACTTCAGACACTCCCAGTTGTGTAAAATTTAAGTTTTAAGGAGAAAAGTACTCGGAAAGTACTCGACCGAGTACTTTCTGAGTACTTTTGTCCTAAAAAGTTAATTTTAATCAAACAGTGATGGTCTCAAGTCATTATGTTGATTTGTAATCTTACCGTTATGCATGTATCATCAAATGCCCATGTACTTCAGCTTTGTTCCCTCCTAACTAGTTAAATATTTGGTAGAGAACTTGGTTCTCAAAAAGTACTCGACTACATCACTGGTTGGATTCCAAAAATAGTTGGTATACGAGAAATGATCTCAGATATACAAATAAATTAACCTTTGACTTTCTCAACTATCAGCTTGTTTCATACAGCTACTGAAATGAAATATGTACTCTTTATACTGGACGAGCAATAAGTACAAGAAAGTTTGGCAGAGCAGTAATGCAAGAACTGTAGCAAGCAGGACTCAATGTTTAGGTCTTGTTTTTGCAGCGCTCGCCCCTCTGCAACTCATCTGACACTGGTAACACAATGTGACATTTTCTTAAATCAGTAATATCTAACTAATACAAAGTGTGGGGTTACATTTTTTGGTGAAAAAAAATGAAACCTGGTTTGTTGTTCTTTTCAAAATCTTGTCCGGCTTTTGGACTTCCTTTCTGGGAAGCAAACAAATCTCCAGGACTGGGAATAATGCTGTATTCAAGTCTGGGGTGCAGGATAAATTCAAATACTGATATTTTTGCTTTTGTCTCTATTGTGGAGAGGGGGGAGGGTCAGAACTCAAAATCGTATGGTGTCTCATAGACTACTGCAATTTCTCTTCTCTGGATCAATTTTTTCATATTTGACTTCCTCTCATTTTATAGGTTTCATACACAAGACAAAGGACAGTGCAACAGAAACTGGAGCTTAGAGAGCTGGTAATGTATTGTTCACATTACAATTGGTGTAGGATGTTTGTCAAGACATCAGTCCATAGTAGAGGGTTTATTTTCAAGCCAAAAATGATAATTTGTAGATTGGATGAAACCAACTTACAGAAGCACCACTGATCCTTTGATTATCTGATGGGAAAACTGATTGCCCTTTCTACTGCGCAGGAGTGCATTTTTTGTGCAGTAAAGCTCACTAAAGGTTTTTACAATTTGTGAAATGAGATGGCGTCTATTTCAATATATACATTATATCACAATATACCATACACTATAGTGCAATTTGTATCTTGACAAACAACATATTTTAGCATCAAATTTTGATCATTCCATATTATTTATTTATTCTTTCTCTTCATCCAACAGTGCACTCAGCACCAATTATAGGATGAAGTGACAATTAAGAAATACTATATTTTAAAGGTGGGAGGAAAACCCCGAATCAATATTCCAGGGAAAACCCATGGAATCCGGCAGGGACTGAAACCCAGTCCACATGCAGACCTCCGTTGGATTCGAACCTCAGTCACAGAGGTGATGCCAACCTGACTCCTGGTTTGTACAGTACACGTACATTTAGACAAACATGAGAATATACTGCTGCAGGTTTGCATGTCACCACATCGGTAAGTATTGTTATTTGCTACAGCCTGTAAAAATGATCAGGATGCCTCTTTCCAGTATACATGTACATGTACAAGCAAATGAACCCAATTGCCACAGCAATGTTGAATGTAGGTGTACCTTCAACTCTTTCAATTGATGGTGAAGGTGACCATTATACATGTACTTTGAGTAATGGGATGGAATTCTAGCATCCCATTATCTGTTTTGACCTTGTATCCATACAGTATGCACTTGTGGATGTGGTCCTATACTTGTCAAAAGCAAGAAAGGACATATGTACCTCAACTGTTGCTTGTGCACAAAATACAAAATATTACTTGTGCACAATTTCAGAATTAACTGAGCATTGTACAGAATTGAAATCTGCACCTGTAGGTTTTTAAACTTTTTTTGTGTGTGGAAATTACACAAGGTCCTTTCTTGATGACGGTTGAGATGCTTGGGCGGCACAAAGTTCCCTGGTCTCTCATTATCGTATCCGGCCCGTTTTCATACCCCATAATTTCAGTTTTAATAACCAAAACTTTAGTAATTCCAAAACTCCTTCATAAAGAAAGTATAAGTGTATTGAAAGTTGATTTATACAAATTAAATTTCATATAAATTTATCCTAAAATGATTTCTGGTTCACTTCATTTCTGATGATCAGAGCACAGGGCAGGCTACAGGGAATCACATGGTAGTGACACTGCACCTGGCATCACTTCTATTATTCATTGTTATCATGCAGTTATGGAATTATGCATATTTAATTCCAAATAAGCAAGAATACAAAGCTATAAGCACATGTGTACAGGCAGCTTAAAATACATGCACATGCTCAATGCTTTGATGTCTAAACTGGGAGTTTTCGAACAAATCAGTCACTTATCATTCGCAACCATAATGGACAATGAAATAATGAATCATTCATAAATTCTGGTACCTTGGGCAGTTTCCCCATTCAACAATGCAATTGTGACCGTGTATTAGCATTTGATAATGCCCACTGTAATTTGACAATGCCCGCTGCGTAAAAACACACGGGCACCTGGATATGAGACAGTTTAATCCATCGCTACAGGTCAAGAGTCTGTGTGCGCTATTGCACACAGAACTCATCACAACCCGTGTCAAGTCTATATAAGGAGATTCTGCTCGACTACTTGCACAAGGAATATACCATATGGACGTTGCCTTTGTTCAAATGCCTAAGGCACAAGTAATTTGACCTTGTACAAGCCATTTCTAGACTTGACCAAGTCAGGATCCTCTGTCACGGTGGTATTGTCTGTATTTATGCTTTGGATATGGAGGCTGCGCAGAGTTACTTGCTTCCCGCCCTCTTGTGTCCACTTATGTGAGTTCAGAAATCCTGACTTGACGAATCTGCCAACTGTTTGTACACAGCGAATGGGCTCATCTACCAAAAGTAGTAGCAGCCAATCAAATTTCCAGACTTGTTTTTACATCGTTCATACCTGCATAGTAATGAACGATTCTATGGGTCTGAATACTATTGATTGGTGGAAATTCCAAATACATTAGGCAAGATCATGTTGTTCGTATCCAATTATGAATAACTACAGATCATGTATGACACACGTTGTACAATAAAGGCTATTCAAACAAGGGTGCCTTATATAAGAGTTACCGGTATGCGACAGCTCAGGTGCAATGACCATGTACTGTGTATAGGCTAGTGAAGGCTGACTGGGAAAGAGCAACGTAAGTCTGACTGGATTCAAGTCTAGCTTATTGCATGTATTTTTAATAAGTACACTAATACAGTGATGGGGCCCCTTACTAAAATGTCCCATGCAGATCCCATGGGAATTCTATGGGCTGCCCGTGGGACCCCATGTGTACACCATGGGACTGGCAAAAAAATAATGTTGGTTGAAGTGATCACCATGGGACATTTTGTGGATACCATGGGAACACCATGAGACTTTTATGATGAGCATGGGAACACCATGGGGTTTTTATAATCAGCATGGAAACACCATGGGGTTTTTATGATCAGCAAGGGAACACCATGGGGCTTTTAT